CAGGCCGGCCATGGCCACGACCAGCACTACGGGCTCCACCCTGCTGCAGCCCCTCAGCAACGCTGTGCAGCTGCCCATCGACCAGGTACCCGCGGCGGCCCTGCTGGCATCGCGCCCTCGCCGCCCCCTCTCCGGCCGTGTGCCATCCGCGCGGGAGCCGGGACCCGGGGTGCGGGCTGGGGCAGGCGCCTCTCCTCAAGGGAGGGGGCGACCCGCCTGTTGTTGTCCGCCCGCCGCCTCGCGCCCGCTGCCCCTTCCGGGCGTGCCCACCCCGCCCCCACCCCGCCCGGCCCTTGCCCAGGCAGCCCGGGGGGGGCTCCGGGCATCGACGTGCGCGCGTGCATGCTTGGCCCTGCTCCCCGCCACGGCAGCGCCCGGACCCGGGGCGGGCGTGCATCGGGCAGGCGGCGACCCGGAGTCCCGAAGTCGCTTCCAGGGCGTGCGGGCATGGGTGTAGACAGTGTGGAAAGGCTGTGCTTTGGGGAAGCCGGGGTGTCTGTGCTCTGCACGCGTGGCACCGAACGCCCCACGGGGAAGTGGGATGCATGTGCCTGGGTGGAGAGTGCGCTGTGTGGCGTGGAGGCCAGCTTAAGGGTCAGCGACCTGCGCTTTGGGACAGTTTGCGTGGAAGTGTGGCTTGTTTAACAGAGGTAGCAGTTTGGGGGAAGGCAGAGGTTTTGAAGAAAAGTCAAAGTGAGTTAATAATCCCCGGATTTCTAGCTGAAAGTTGCAGCCGTTTAGACGGAAGAAGCTGCCCTACCGCCTCTCTCCCACCCCTCAAAAAAGCGTTTGACACTGTTTAGGGAAGGGTGGCATTTAAATGAGGCCAATGGAGTTTGTTTGAGAGGCCTAAGGATTATTGAGAAATAAACAGTATTGTGATGGGAAAAGCAGTGCCTTTTTTATTCAGAAAAGAAAGTTTGGAAGTATTTTGTCAGTGACATTTAGGGAAGTTGTTAAGGGGGTAGATAATTGCTCTAGCCCCAGGCTAGAAAATTTTGCTTAAAATTATTTCAAGAGTACTTGATTTTGAAGTGTTTGCACTTTACAGGGGATTCTGGTTCAGTGTCCTTCTCTTGAAAGTGTTGCCGTCATTTGGTGTCATCAGGGATTTTATTTATAATACAGGATTCCTCTGTGTCCAGACTACGTTTCATAGCAGCAAGATGAGAAATGACTCCTTTGTCTAACATTATGACACTAACTGCTTTGTGCTTTACTGTTTAAAAAAAGGATAGACTGAAGTATGTCTAACGAGTATTATAAAATTCTACCTTCTGTTCAAATCTGAATTCCTTACTTATATTTCAGTCATAACTTTTGGTTTGTAGTAAAATGCCTATCCCCCGACAAACCTTGAATAACAATTATAATGTGTATCACGCTAATAAAGTACCGGCAGTGAAATTAATCCTGTATTAAGAAAGTGGTCTTCTCTGTTTATTAATAAACTGATCAGAACTTGGGATTTTTCATCTTCTCAGCCCTGTGGAGGATTCTCACTTTTCCAAACTGAAGTACAGTGTATGACCTTTGAGCGTATTACACCCCTGACTTAAGTAGGTTGCTGCCAGTGTATCAGCAAATGCAGGGTAGGTATCTGTTTAAACATTTTTTTGCTGATGAGCAGCAAGGGAGATGCGCCTATACTTTTTCATTTATTTTAGGGAAATAGGTATATTCTGTCTTTCTCTCTCTCCCTACTGTGATGAAATATTTTCTTTGCTATGTTAATACCTTTTATTTTATGTCAAGCTTATAACTTTTTAGAAGTGATTTAATATAATGAACTCATTTAAACATCTCAGCAATCCAGAGCAAGTTCTTTTCAGTATTACTGAAATAAGCAGGAGAATCAAGAGAAGGTGACAGGACTTAAAATTTTAACTTTCCTTCTTTGTATCTTCAGGTCTTGATTTGGTACTGTGGACAACCTTCATTGTCTTGGGATTACTCTGAATTTGCATAACCATTTGTATTTTGAGTTTTCTCTTCTCTAAGCAAGTCTTAAGAATATTGGATTAATACCACACAAACCTTAACTTTTTATAGTGATATTAAAGGTTTCTTTGAAATACCGAAGAATTGACTTTTTTTGCTGATAAAGCTTTTAGAATAACTAAAAACTCATATTGTAAAATTGGATGAATAAATAGTCATTTAGCCATTATTTTAAAATTGAGCAAAGTAGAAAATAATTTTTGTAACACATAAATAATTGTCCAAGTTGAGAGAAAGCCTAAGAATTGGTTGTAATCAAATAGTGTGATTCAACAGGAAAAAGACAAATCAGGAAATGAAAAGTGTAAAAATATAACTTGTTAGTGTGTTAATTTGGTATGTGCTAGTTAACAATGTTTTGAAAATTTAGAAAATTATGAAAGCAATTGTTTGAGGTCAGAGGAAGAAAAGGACCTTAGGCCAGAAAAATAGTTTAACTTTTTTACTAGAGTGTATGTAGAATTTATAAAATGACAAATTGTTGGTATTTATAGAATATAAGAATACATTGCATGGTCAGGTAGGAGAGGAAGGAGGAAATGTTTTACAGCAAGACCAGGCAAGGAAGAGGAGCAAAAGATTTTGCCTTAGGCTCCTGGATTGTTTAATGTCTCCTGAGGATTCCAGAGTGACCTTGAGGTAACTGTAGTATTTGTTCAATAGGCCTTAAATTTAAATAAAAATGTAAAATCTAGTGTCAAGTAAGGGTAAATGATGCTTTAAGATAGGAAATATCTAGCATCTGATGTTTCCCCTTTCTAGGCCTTGCATTCCGGGCGACTTTATTTCTGGGGTGGTTATCGTTAAAGGGATATGTAGAGAGTTGGGTTTTCAGGAGGATTTGGACTAAGGGAGAGCTGTGCCCAAGACAAGGGCCAGACGTGCTATCGAGAAGATGTCAGTGAACGTAATTGTGTTCTTTATTGTTGCTGATGTGAATTTTTTTTTTTTTTTGTGAGGAAGATCAGCCCTGAGCTAACATCTGCCAATCCTCCTCTTTTTTTGCTGAGGAAGACTGGCCCTGGGCTAACATCCATGCCCATCTTCCTCTACTTTATATGAGACGCCGCCACAGCATGGCTTGACAAGCAGTGGGTCGGTGTGCTCCTGGGATCTGAACCGGTGAACCCCGGGCCACCGCAGTGGAGCGCGCGCAGTTAACCGCTTGTGCCTCCTGGCTGGCCCCGCTGATGTGAATTTTTAAAAGACCCCAAGTGAGGAGTTCCAAATAAGAGAGAATGATTACATGTCTTAGATCAACCTGTTTTTTAGTGTTTGTTTTTTTACCCCAATATATCGTATGTTCTGTTACATTCCGTTTATCCAGCTCTCTTGAGATATCAGACTGAGGGTGCTCTCCAGCCTTCTTCTTCCTCCCTTCCTCCTTCTCTCTCTTTTTTTCCTTTTTAACTGTTTTCTTTCCTATGTCCCATGATGTTGTAATTACTGTGAAACTGGAGTAAATTTCTCTAGTGACATGATATCCTGGAGGCATCCTCGGCAGATGGCCAGTTAGGGATGAGACTGGCTTGTAGAGAGTCCTTGAATAGTCCTGTTTGGGGACAGGGTCATTGTTTTAGGGTTGTTGTGCTGCACTTTTGGGTGAGGAGAGGGGCAAGAGGGAGACTCAAGATATTTTGAAAGGTTTCGAGAAGGGAGAAAGGACGAGTGGGGAAGGAGGACGACCTGTTGCATGTTACTAATCCTGCAAAGTCAGGTAAGGGCTCTAACAGGTGACACCTTACAGCTTACACATCTCTTTCATGTGCATTATATTATTTAATTGAATCCCCACAACACGTTATGGAGTCAGATAAAATTAAGGGCTGAAGTATTTAGCTTCAGGTATATATGTATATAATTGAATAAAAGGTTACTTTTTTTTTTGTGAGGAAGATCAGCCCTGAGCTAAGATCCATGCCAATCCTCCTCTTTTTGCTGAGGAAGACTGGCCCTGGGCTAACATCTGTGCCCATCTTCCTCCACTTTATATGGGATGCTGCCACAACATGGCCTGACAAGCGGTGCATCAGTGCGTGCCCGGGATCCAAACCTGGGCCACCAGCAGTGGAGCATGTGCACTTAACCACTATGCCATGGGGCCATCCCCAAAAAGGTTACTTTTATTTTATACTGTTAACATGTGGCAAATAATTTTGGTAGATCATTGTTTTAGATCTGAGTTGCCAGTATATTTTTAGAGGAGAGAGTAGAGAGAGAGAACTTCCTAAACACTGAAATCCTGGCCCTAACGGTGGGATAGGGAAAACCATGTGTATGTATAAGAGAGAAGGAAGTCCAGAGGCTTATAAAGTCCTGTTTCCTTTTCTGTGAGTTTGTTGATTGACCTTTTTAGTATATTCTCCTGTGCTATGTAGACAACCAATAAAGGGAAGTAATATATAAGGAAAAAGAGTAGTTTGGAACATTAACTTCCTAATCCTCCTACAGTTCAGTACTGTGATGAACCATTTCATCATTTATAGATGAAGAAGTAAGTTCTCAGTATTGAGCCTTTTTTTTTAAAATGTTAAGCAGCTTTATTTATTTATTTATATTTGGTGAGGAAGATTGGCCTTGAGCTAACATCTATTGCCAACCTTCCTCCTTTTGCCTGAGGAAGATTGTCGCTGAGCTAACATCTGTGCTAGTCTTCCTCTATTTTTTGTATGTGGGTTGCCGCCACAAGATGGCTTGATGAGTAGTGTGTAGGTCCACGCCCAGGATCTGAACCTGCGAACCCCAGGTGGCCAAAGCAGAGCATGTGAACTTAACCACTATGCCACTAGGCCGGCCCTGAGCCTTTTTAAGAATATGACTTTTAGGGGAAGAAAGTGAATGGCAACGAAACAAGCAAATTGAAGATTTATTTTATTTTAAAGTTGCCATTGGAATGCTCTAGGTTTAGGACATAAATATTTAACTCATTTGTCTATCCTGTCTTCTTTTACACTCGTAATGAGCATCAGTCTTCATCATAAGAACCCTGAAATATGGAGACAATCTGCTGTGGAAGATTCCTTTTAATAAGGAAGGCATATGGGTCTGGGCATCTTGAATCTGTATTTTAGGCCTTGTCAGTTA